TGTGTATCATAACATGTATCCATACGCTGAGCGCACAGTTACCGTAAACCTCCCTACGATGACTTTTGAAATGATATTGTGGTTATTTTATACTTTGGTACAACAAGTTTTTGTTCACGCATTGTGGTGGTCAAATTTCTGATACCGCACCGCAACGCAGCGCCTTTCACATGCGTACTCGGGCAGGGTTTCCCAATGAGACAGACGACTTTTTCATCACATGAGGGTGCACCTTTTTGCGCTTCATTCAAATTTCGTAAAACCAAAAATGCTATTAGTGTCTGTTTTTATTTTTTTTTTCTTCGTTCTTTATTTTCAAACTTTTGTTTATTTTTTGGGAGTGAGATTTGGCCACGCAAAAGCTCTGCGTTGCAGTCACATGGTTTGTCCACTGCACGTGAGCATGCTGTGGTTTGTGGCTCTAATTGGGCAGCCATCTGCAAGGGCGAGCACAAGCAGCTGGGCCAGACCATTAGGCCAGACTTAACTTCCGTACGTGTGACGCATACACAAAGATCTCCAATGCATTGCCGCAGCCACCGCAAAGAGCCATCAGTCGACCTGCCGACGCACTGGCTACAATGGGCCCAAGGTAACAATTGGGCCAATTCCTGCAAGTCAGATTTTGCGGTCACGGTGTGGTTTAGATCGATCATCACTGTAGCGCGCTTGCAAGTGTTCCGGTGTGAAAAGACGAAGTGAGCGTGTCAGAAATGATTCATAACTAGACCTGCATTCTGTTTACACTTTCTGGCGGCAGTTTCTTTTGGATCTGCTACACCAAAACTTGGAGGTAAACAAATCCAGCAACGTGAGCAGTTCAAGTTACGGATATGTTTTTGTACATAAAAGCCTATTCTTTCAGCGGGAATTAATCATTCTTCGAGTTAAGCAGAGTTTCGAGTTAACCAACTTTGAATCAAGATTTTACTGTGTTACCTCTTCTCCAGTCCGACAGCCAAGCCTTGTGCTGGGGTCTCCTCATCGGCAAAGTGCTTGTCCACCTTCCATTTCTCAATAACCGACAGGGCTAGCTGCGGCATGGCCCGACAGTAAATCTGGCCTCTCTGGAATGAACAAAGCAAGGAGAAGAAAACAAGAAACTAGGGATAAATGTTAGTCCTTCAACTTACAAAGAAGGATGGGTCAAGTTTATCACCTACTCGCCGCAAAAAATCAACACGAAGAGCAAAGGCATGGCCACTGACATGCCAGAGCACTCACTCTTGAAGAATATGTCCTTTCATATCATATGTGAACAGACCGACAGACAGGGCCTTTTAAGTGTGAAATTGAAACTGACATCATGACAGAGTGATTCATTGACTTTCTCATTTCTCCAACTGCAAAATTCCCTTTCAGTAACCTTAACAGTCCCAAATCCTCCAATTTCAATATGATTTTACATACACCCTAGGGGGTTAGGGATAATGTAACAACGACCCCCTTTATGATGCCAACATCTGCCAGTTAGGAGAGCTCAAAAAAATAATTCGGCACATTGAGTCTCCAAAAAAAGGTATCAAACAGGAAAGTGTAATTTCATTCTCCAGAAGAATGTCAGATTTATTCGACTAGGTTCCCACGACACTCAATCACGTAAGAATTGAACACAAGGAAACAAAAATCAAACTGACATGAATTTGATGAAAAAGGCCAACAGAAAGCATTGACTTGCATAAAATAAAACAGGCCACAACTGACTAACCCTATCAAAAGCAATTATACAGCATAAAGTACCACCGCCCGCCAAGCAACAGATGTGTGCAGAGCAAGCATTCCACAAAATGCCTCCACCAGTGCTGGTAGAATGGGGCCCAATACATCCCCCCCCGCAGTAAGGCTGTGGAATGGTGAAACAGCCCACTCTACCTTATGCCATTTACGTCTATAGTCACGGCCCAGCACCCCCCAAAAGAATGTGCTACCACAAAGAGCATGCCAACAGGCAGGCAAACAACCTTTACGACTTACAATTGCATGTGTCTTGGCCCAGCACCCACCAGTGTTGGAGGGCTCGAGACCTGGTCTCGGTCTCGAGACCGTCTCGAGACCTTTTTTTGAGGTCTCAGTCTCGGTCTTGGTCTCGGCCTACAAGAGTCTCGGTCTCGGGAGGGTTGGTCTCGGTCTCGGGAGGGCTGGTCTCGGTCTTGGTCTCGGATGCCGAAGTCTCGGGTCTCCCACCCGAGACCTGCTGAGACCATGACAGAAATGCAGAAAATGTGGGTCAACAATTCACGCTCGGCCGCGGCAAAATCACGTACCCGGACCGTACGGTACATACAGCACACATATGTATATAGCAGTGCTGCTTGCAGCGCGAGCAAATGAGTCTAGTTCCTAACTGCACGCAATTCCGCATGTATGCTTGGAACATGTACGACATGGTATTCACGATAAAGAATGAAATCAAAGCTGGAATGGAGACTAATGCATACATGTGTGTATGCATACATGTACATGTACTTTTAATAGGGAACTGCCCACGATGTTGTGTGACCCTTCTAACCTGTCCATTTATCATTACAGAGTATAACTCATAAATTGAACTCGAGCACACCTTTTGGCATAGTCCGAGCAACTCAGACCCCACGTTTTGCCTTTTTAAACATTTGGACATGGCCCGCCCACGTTAATTTTGCTATACATATGGAACACAAAAACTCTGTACATGTACATGTTTAATGTACGATTATGCCGTATACTCTATACAAAATTCTATAGCATCGGCAGTCCATGCCTTCATGGTCAAAATAACTGTGTGCTGTTTTTTCCCAGAGTTCAAATAAAACTCTTTCATGGAATATGGAATATGTTGTGTGCTTTACATGTAAAATCTGCACTTAATTTTGCTGTTTAATGCCAATTGTCCACCACGTTTACCATTAATGAACTACATGTAGGCCTATATATTGTATGTGTTGTGCAAGGTCTCGGTCTCGGTCATCTTGGTCTCGGTCTCGAACTGCAAAAGTCTCGGTCTCGAAGTTCTGGTCTTGGTCTTGAAAGAGCTGGTCTCGGTCTTGGTCTCGGTCTCGAATGCCTTGGTCTCGAATGCCTTGGTCTCGGTCTCAAATGCCTTGGTCTCGGTCTCGGACTCAAAGGTCTCGACTACAACACTGGCACCCACTCAACAAAAAGGAACGCCAAACACTTCAACATGTAGCTCTAGTGAATTTAACTTAATAAGGACACCTTTTTGTTACAACATCCCAGAGTTGTAATCAAGTCAGTCACAAGTCACTGCAAGTCACCACAAGTCAGTTACAAGTCATTCAGCCACAAGTCAACTCGAGAGTTATTTAAATGAACTGTGACAAAGGCATTCCTTTGTTATTGTTCATCTCTCAGTTCCGCACTGACTTGTGAAAGACTTGTGAGTTGACTTGTGGACTGACTTGTGACCGACGATCTGCAACTCTGCATGTGATCCACCATTACTACTGCCGTTTGACAGTTCCTCCCCCCATGTTAACGTTCATACCTGTACATGTACATCAAAGCAATCCCCAATGCAAATTTTGTAGGCAGATGACACTGGCAGTCAGGAAATGCACAGAATGTGGAAGATGCATTGTTCTTGTGTAGACTGGTGCCACTGTCCAGATTGTTGCTTGGAAACATTTTAAGAATGAGGGGGTCACATATAATGGTATCTACCAAACAAAAGATTTCCAATTATTTTGTAATAGCTTTGGTAAACCTGGAATGTCTGTGACATTGACATTATAATGTCAGTGACATTATAAAGTAGTGATTTAAAGAAAAATTGTAAAGCAAAGTGCAATTGTCAGAGGGTTTTACGCCACAGACTACCTTGTTGATGACCCAGGTCTGTGATCTGGGCGGCCAGATGTCACGGCTGCCTTGTTTCTTCTTGGGTTGTAAGGCCAACTCACAGTACAAGACCTTGGTAGGATCCTCCTGAGTTCACATGTCAAGGTTGCATCGTGGTCATTTTCAGAGTTCATTTACCAAGGTTTTTTCCGACATTGTGTGCTGATGTAGTTTTCGGAGTTTGTTTACAAAGGTCATTGCAAACATGGGAAAGGCATGTCCAAATTTCATTTCGATGCTCACAGTTGAAAAGGTTATTTCAAAATTTGATGGCACAGGTCATTTCAAAATTAATTTGGAAAGGTCATTTTGAATTAATTTTTAAAGAATACTAAGCTAGTTACTATTATTTCCAATGTTTCATATAACTGTGACTCTAAAAGGCATTTTCACAGGTCAAAAAAGACAACTCCAACTTTTCATGAATTCTGCCAGCTTATTACCATCATAATTTCCCCATCATTTT